TCTACCTTTAGAGCGGAGATAAAAAGAGCTTAGGATTGGTTTCAAATACCTTTCTGAGGTGGCCCCTGGGGGTATTTATAGGCCTTTGTGAGGTATCCACGTGGCTTGCTTAGGAAGATAATCGGAGCCTGACGTGTCTATCCAGACGATTATTTCGGGACCGAGAATTTGAGAGGTATTCAGATGCACGGATGTCCACCATACTTGTTGTGCCACTCGTCATAAAGAATCAGGTGCGGGCATGCTTATTGTCATTGTCATGTAGCTATTTGAGCAGGAAGCTTTGGATTCATTTCTCACTTCGGTCATAAAGGAATTACTGTAGCAGTCCGAGGCTTGGCACCTCGGACCTGTCCTTACACTATTCCCCCCCCGAAGTCATTCACTTGTGAATGATGTTGCTCGGGATAATGAGGGGAGTGCATGAACAAAGAAATTACGGATAAGTCATGGAAGTATAAGGAAGAAAGCTGTAATTTAAATTTAGACATAGCCGTAGCTAATAATGAAATACGTAACAGTGCCTTAAATGGAATATGACCGGAGCGATCGTGGCCGTGGTCGTGGTGAAAATAATGACCGGAGTCATAATGTAAAAGATGATGACCGGAGTTATAATGGAGCCAAGGTCATGATAAAAAATGATAACTGGAGTTATAAAGGTGAAGGCCGTGATGGAAAATGATGACCGGAGTCATAATGGCTGGAGCTGTAACAAAATATGATGACCGGAGTCATAAGGGCCGGAGCCGAGGTAGAGTATGTGACATGTGGTCGCAGTGACCAGGACCGAAGTAGAACATGTCTTTGTGGCCGGAGCCGAAGTAAAACACTTTGCCCGTCAAAAAGTGTAATTGTAAAAGTAAGCATAAGTGCTGAGCTGGGCTTAAAATATGATGACCGGAGTTATAATGGCCAGAGCTGTAATAAAATATAATGACCGGAGTCATAATGGCCGTAGCCGAAATAAAATGTGTGATACTGGGTCACTGTGACCGAAGCCGATGTGACATGTAATGCATGATTATTGTGGTCGGAGCCGAGGTGAAACACTTGCAAAATTGAGAATGTATAAAAAGTGAACAAAGGTGTTGAAATGGGCGTAAATGGGCCCGTGTAAAAATACTGACATAGGTGTGACAGTTGTCCTTGGAATGACGTGCGCAATAAATGTGACCGTAAAAAGATAATTGCTACAGCTAAACGGGCAAAAATTAAAAAACGAACCGTCGAATTCAAAACGGTACCGTTTGGGGTTGGCCGTCGAATTCTAAACGGTGCGAATAGGAACCGTAAGATTAAATGAATCTCAGCCATTGAGATCTAATTTTGCCCAGAAGTATAAATAAACATTTTTTCTACAGAGAGAGGTTTACTTGAATTTCTTTCCCTGCAAAACTTTTGCGAAAAGCTTTATTGGGCGTTTCCTGTGCGTGAACTGCGGTAACAACTGAGGATCTCTACATCAAATCTTTCGAAACCGAAATCAGGTAATGTATGATGAACCTCTGATTTTGAGTTAATCGAAGTGTCATTTCTCCTTTCTCCCTTTCTGTGATTGATTTAAAGTCCTTTGAAGGAAGTTAGGGTTAGAGGCGAGAAGGATTTTGAATGTGCAACAAAGGGGGTTTTTTTTTTTTTTTTATGTGGGATCCTGATTTATTCCTCCCCCTACTTCATGCAGAGTTTGAGAAAATGTCCTCAGAAGGAACAAAAAGTGTAGTTGGGAGTGAGGTGATGCCCCTGGACTATGGGAGCATGGACGCAGAGAGTAGTCCATCTCCATCTAGTTCGGAGAAAACGGTAGAGGGGGTGAGAGGAGATGAGGTGGT